CACGTGGACAACGAGCACATGTTATATGAGTGATCTTTTTGTGACTTTTTTTTCTCATTTTAATTTTCTTTATGAGTTTTGTTGTTCATTTTGATTCCTAGGGCTATTTTGCCGGACAGGAACTTCGGTCCCTGGCTGTATATACACCCTGTATGAAGAAAAAAATACTATTAATTAAATAAAAAAATGAAAAAATGAAAATATATTTGAAATAAACTTGGCCTTCTCTTGTACTTGTAAAAACCCGTTGAGTTTAGTGCAAAAAACAAAAAAAGTCTGCCAAAATAGTATGAATAGTGACTTGTAATAGCAGCACTTTTTGGTTTTTCCTGAGGTCAACAGCGATTTTTAATCATGAAAATTTATATACTAGTGCAAAAGAAAGTCAGGTTTGTTCTAAAAACACTTCTAAAGTGGTTTGATTTCTTCTTAAACTTTCTCCCCATGCCAGACATATATACACATAGGAACCAAAGGACAATTCCCCCGTCCCGCCACTCTATAAAGCTGAAAGAGGGGAGATAACAATGGTTTGGCGGATACAAAAGATAGTGCAACATCCAAATCATGCACGTTTTCATGTTGATACACGACGATGAAAAGAGCAGAATGCAACGTTTTAAAAGCCGATTGAATGAAGGCGGGAAATGTTAACTAGTAGCAAAGAAGAGCTCAACAATGATGACTTTGGCCTCTGTTAGTTAGCGTATATAAAGTATACCAGGTGTCGCCTCTAGCGGAAAAAACACAATTAGAGCGGGTAAGTCATGCCGAGGTCAATGTGAGGGGGGTAGTTTTAGAAGCGAAGTCACACACTACTTTTGACCCTGGCACGAAGTGGGTTGTTATTATTCTCGATAAAGGACATCGAGCCATGCCATTGATGGTCTTGATGGGGGCGTGCTGGCGCTCGTATGCTGAATTGCGTTGTTTACCTTTGAAAATACCTAAATTGTAAAGACGGTCACTAAGCTGTTTGACATTTCGTATGAACTGTCTTGCAAATTATTCCAAAAATTCAAACAATTAAGATAAAAAGGTGCTAGAATTTCTTTTTTATAGATGAGAAAAAATAATGGTTTTGGATGAGACGGACCATCTGTCATAGTTGGACTCAAGGCCTAGGCGAGTAGACATCTACTGACCTGTGGGCCCGAGGCGTCGGGTGTTAGGGTTTCCTCGTGCTGCTCTCTCTGTCGCCTCCCAATCCCAATCCCCTCCTCTCTCCCTCCCCCACTCCGGCGGCGGCGCACCCTAGCGAGCGCGGAAGAGAGAAGGAAGCGAATCCGACGACCATGGCGACGATCGTCAACACCACGGAGGAGGAGCCGACGCTGGCGGTGGTGCGCTCCACGGCGCAGCTCGCCTGGGCCGACGCGGGCGCCGAGGTCGCCGACCCGGAGGTGGCCCGCCTCTGCGCCGAGGCGCAGCAGCACGCCCTCGCCGGCCGCTGGCTCGACATGGCCTCCCTCATGCTCGCCAACGCCGACCTCCTCCTCCTCGCCCCCACCGCCCCCGACAAAGGTCAGTCAGTCCGCCTCCGTCCGCTCCTCGCCGACTCGCGCCTTGCTTTACCCCGCGTCGCTCTGTGCAGCCGCAGATCTCGAGTGCGTCCTCACCGTCATCTGCAACCTCGTCACCAAGGCCGGGTCCGAGGACGAGGCCCTCGAGATCGCCAGGCTCATCTGCGCCAAGCTCGCCCACCAGCCCGGCGACAAGCCCACGCTGCGCATCAAAGTGTAAGAGGCGCCGGCGCCGGCGACCCTCTCACCATCCCTGCCTCCCTGCATCGGATTGCCATATAAGTTTCCTGACGATGCCGATGTATTGATACGTGCAGCCTGTTCAGCCTGTACAACCTGCTCCCGAGCCTCTCCGGCAAGGCCTTGGTGTACAGGAAGGCGCTCGAGCTCGCCGCCGCCGGGAAGGCCGCCGACTGCGTCGTCCCCACCTTCAAGAACATCGACGCCTTTGTCGCCTACTGGGGCATCGGCAAGCCGGAGCAGAGGGACCTGTTCCTCGCCGTCACCAGGATTCTCAAGGACCACAAGGGGTGCGGCACGCGTTGCCCTCTGCTTCCAAGTTCCTTGCATTTTTTTTAGCCACTGTATATAAGTAACATGGCAAGATTGTTGTATACTGATGCGGTCCGTTCTTGTTATGATGATGATTGTCAGCATGACCAAGGAGTACTTCAAGTTTCTCAACAAGTACCTGGCCACGTTCGATGGGTCGGCTGATGATGCTGATGCAATCGGTGCGGCAAAGGAAGAAGCTGCTGCAGCAATCATTGAGTTCGTCAAGTCATCTGATCTCTATCAGGTACTTTCATCCTTCGGTTCACATCTCTGCCTTAGGTCTTGTGCTTGGACGGAAAAAATCTAGTGGGAGACATAATGCACGCTTATGAGTTTGATTCTCTGTGAGTGATGTATCGCTTTCTCCGTACCAGAACATGATATAACATCCTATTCTCCAATCATGTCACCAAATGTGAATTTGGTCATAACAGTCAAATATCACTATATATTAGATATAAGACTATAGCTATCTGCTCGCACAAGCCTGCAAATGTTAATCTTGTCTACCTTAAATATTTCTGGTTACTACCGGACCGTGCCAACATCGTGACAAGATATCCCTTACAACCTTTCTTCTTTTGGTTTGATGGATTACTGCTTCCACAAACTTGTGCCGCTATGCACTGCATTGCCCAATTCCTCTGCTACTGCTTTGTATGGCGTTGTGCCTTGTATGCCAACAGTAGGTTCTGAAATTCTTGAGGGATTTATTTAGCAAGTTTTAACCTTGCAAACTATACATGTGGTTTAATGCCAGTTAAAAACCTAGCACTGGCTGCTTACTTTATATACTGTATTGATGGAAATATACTTATTGCAGTGTGACCTGCTCGATATGCCAGCTGTTGCACAGCTCGAGAAAGATGAGAAGTATCAGCCAGTTTACGAGCTACTGAAGATATTCCTTACTCAGAGGCTCGATTCCTATTTAGCGTTTCAGACTGCTAACTCTAGCTTGCTGCAAGGATATGGTATGTTCTGGTGAACCAATGCTAGCAATTCTACATTGCTTCAACTTTTTGATATCTAATGGTGGGACCATTTGCAGGACTGGTTCATGAGGAGTGCATAACCAAAATGCGCCTGATGTCCCTGCTTGATCTGAGCGGCCATTGTTCTGGGGAAATTCCTTACTCTGCAATTACAAAAGCCCTTGAGGTAATCGGCTTACCTTGCCTTCCTATTGTTCACTTGATTTAATATTATATTGACTTTTTTAATTCTTTTTGTTAGATCAATGATGATGAGGTGGAATATTGGATCGTGAAAGCAATTTCGTCCAAGATTCTGGACTGCAAAGTTGACCAGCTTAATCAACTGGTCATTGTCAGGTATTTCATGTCCACAAGACTTTCTTGGTCCATGTTACAGTGTTACGCTTTCCTTTTTGGTTAATACTTGGTCTGGTATGTAATTTCAGCCGGCATACTGCGAGGGTCTTCGGGATGCCACAATGGCAGAGTCTACGTTCAAAGCTTGGAGTGTGGAGGGTAAGCCTCTTCCTCGTCTTGAATTTCACTGTCGCAAACTAGTTCAGTAAGAAATGCATAGCTCTCCCGTTTCTTGATGAATGTCAGATGTAACTCCTACAGTGACCTAGAGAAGAACTTTTAGCTAGGTGCTTACCTAGCAACTAATACAATTTCCTCTTAAAATTCTGCTACAGGGAAACATTGCAAGTGCTATCAACACAATCCAAGCTAACAAGGTGACTGAAGATGGCGGGCAGGGGATGCAAGGATTGATGATCCGCTGATCGCAGGGAGACCCTAAATTGAGATTATAGCCTGAGAGATTAGACGAGCAATCCTTTTGTATTAGATATCTTGTAATCCGAAACACTTCTACCCCGTGACCATGCTTGGCTAGATCCTGGTTGCAATGGCATGCTAAGCAATCTCATGTCGCATGAATTTTGTGGACAGAAGCCATGCTTGAAGTCAGCAGTTACTTCTTGCAAAATCGCGTTTGTTCATACTGGATGCCTGTTTTATCATGATGATTGTTCTTTTCCAAGGTTCGGCTTTGGGGTTATTGAGAATTTGTATCATGTTCATTTTTATCAAGCAGCTGGTGCTTTAGCTGGATGTTGTGTGATGAAATCTAAATGCTGGTTTAGGACCTGACTCTTGTTTCATCGTGTTCTGCGACAATTGTCTCCAAAGGTGTTCTCCATCCTACAACAAATGCTTGAAGCAGCCGTTACTCAGTTACACACATTCCTGATTGTTCATATTGGATGCCTGTAGGATTGTTCAGAATTTGTATCAGGTATGTTTTTATCAAGCAGCTGGTGTTTTAGCTGGATGTCTGTGCTGAAATCTAACAGCCTGTCTGGTAAACGCTCGGGCAGAGGAATGGGAGTTTGCACAAGGGTGTTTATGAAGGGATTAGGCATGGGAAGTAGATTTTTACTTTTATTCTCTTGTTTGGCATATGATGGGAGTTGGCGTGGGATAGAACTCTGCTCACGAATTGACAGGGTATCCCCGGGAAGAAACCGGTGGGAACTCTGCTCACGAATTTGCCGGTTTAGAACCTGTTTTTCTTCCCTCGTGTCCTGCAAAAATTTTGTGTTCCAAGCAAGTTGTGTTCTGAGTTCATTCATCCGGTAGAGTGCACACTCAAATAGCTTGAGCAGAGTATCACCAACTTTTTGAGTCTGTCAATAACGGCTCCTTTGATTCAAAGAAATTGATAAGATTTTTTCAATGATTTGAATTCTTATGATCTTTTTTGTACATACATCCACCGTATTGGAATCCTTGGATTTTTTTATTTTAAGTTTGCTCTTGACTCCTTTTTAGAGGAAAATTTCCATCGACAAACCTCTCGGTACAAATTCGGTTATCCATCAAACACTCTTTGATCTAAATTCCCACGACTTTCAAATCCTATAGGATCTTAGTAGACATTCAACTAAAAATTCTCTTGCGAATCCTGCGAATCAAAGGGCACCTTTAAACCTTTGCACTGAACATCTACCAAGACCATGTGCAACAACTGAAAGATATTCAAATCTTGCATATATATTCCACCTTTTGGCTTTTGCAACTCAACAAATGAATACAAATCGCGACAACATTTACATTTACACGCAGAGAGTTGAGTTGCCCCACCAGTTCTCTCCATCCTACAAAATATTTCTCAAAAGTCGTACTGCGAAAACTACATTGTAGCAACGTCTTGCCAAGAGCCGCCGCCGCCGCTGCTCAAAGGTAAGTCAGCCTGGAATGCCTCTGCACCTGTTGAGCCCAATCTTCAAGGCTCAACCGCTATGTAAATGCCTGAAACAAAGCACCAGCAATTGGGTTCAGATAAAGTTCGAAGAGACTTAAGCATAAATCCATTGCAACAACTAAGATACAAACTTGTTCAGAGGCTAGGAAAAAAAAAACTTATTCCAAGGCGAAAGCGATAGCCGTGATGTACGCTAACAAATGCATAGGCCGGTTCTTGTGAAGTTCGCCTTATTTTTTTTATAATCAACTGATATCAATTTGTGTCATTTAACTACAGTTCGGTAGCGATCTGAACCGCATCCTTCATTATTCAGCGTAATGGATATACATGAAATTATCAGAAGATTATTAAATCGAACCAATCTAGTGTTGCGTGATGCAGAAACATTTCCATGGAAATAATTAATTGTACAGTGACTGAAAGCCAGCGGCACGCACCGTTGTCCCCGTCAACCAAGGACACCCGGCAGATGAAAATTCAAAGGGGTCACAATCAGATGCCAACTAATCTAACATCCGGAGCCCTACCATTGCACACTTTCTGCAATTTCGTGGAGAAAATGTCACTGGAATAAAGAGACAGGACAAACACAACCGAATGACACCCGTGTATTACTCGCTAGAGTCAGGTTGAAGGACACAAAACACACAATAAGTGAGAAGCAACCACGCATCGCAATCCAGAAGCAGAGAGCGAAATTAAGCAGAGTTTGCGAGAGGGGATCGGAAAGCAAACCAACCTGTCAAACGAGTTAGTGCTTTGATGAACAGAGCTGCTGATGACACTATTTATTTCAGAGGGATAATCACATCCAGGTTCGCCGCGGACCGCCACCCCTTGGGATAGACCGGGCTCTCAGATCCAAATGGCACATGCCAGTTCATTACTTGGGAGCAGTCTGCGGGTATGCCCTCCATCTGGCTCTCATCCTCCACTAACTGCTCCACAAACGTGGTTCCCTGCAAAGTAACAAGAAGAATCTCAAGCTGTTAATACCCCATGAAGAAAAACATGGCCAATAAGGTCCAAACAAAGCTTGCAAATGGGATCTCCCATTTGTTTGTTTGATTGATCACCATTTGTTAGAGGGCTACACACAACTGTTTTTTTTTGTTCTTATTTTGCTCCATCGACGCCTTTTGTTATCTTTCGAATTTCCACGTGTGCGGTTTCGGCATAGCGGTTGGGACAGGACGAAATGCCGATCGATTAAAAGACGAACACGCACACATTATACTAGCCACTATAGTGCTTGATTTGAACATGGCATGTGAAGCTCTCAAGAGGTGCAAAGAGAAGCAAGGAGGGGCTTACTTGGAAGCCCTGCTCCACCGTTTCCGGGTGCCGGATGGAGTTCCAGGCCCGATGGGACCTCAGCCTGGGATCCCAGAGCATGGTGCTGTTGAACGCGAAGCCCGACATGGCGACATGAAACCTCTGGAGCTTGTTGGCACCCCCACTGGTGTGCCACCCAACAACCTGGCTCTGCTTGCACACGGGCCCTTCGAGCACGACGTCGTGGCCGCCCTCGGAGATCGTCGGAACCGGCCATGTGCCGAACCTCCTAAATCAATGACAGCCAGCAGCAAAGTCAACAATGAGTTGGAGCTTCACACATCATCCAGTTTTATCAAGCAGTGCTGGGACATAAGGTTTCAGATTCGTTTGCTTGCCAGGGTAGCAGATACTAACTGCTGTTCCAGGCAAGGAATGTGTGCTAGTACTACTACCGAATCTTGTAAAGAAAGCAGAAATTTTCAATTCGGAGAGCAACTCCATGGAAGAAGTTTTGATGTTTTCAGCTCTAGATGCCAAATTTTGCTTTGCCGTCCTAGAAAGCAAGCATGCATTGGAACTTGGATCTTGATTCTTGAGATGAGTGATAAAAATTGGCCAAAGATTGCACATTTCGTACGCATACGCGGCTGAATCTGAAGGAGGGATGGAGGGGATGGGGGGTACCTGATGTGGCGGAGGCGGTCGAAGAGCGGGAGGGAGTAGACGCCCTCCTCGTCGGCGAAGTAGACGACGCCGTCGAGGCGGTGGTTCTCGACGACCTCGAGGCCGGCGTTGAGCTGGTGCGGGCGGAAGTCGGCGGCGGCGGAGGCGGAGGCGTTGAGGGCGTCGCAGCAGCCGACGTAGCGGTGCATGACGGCGGTGCGGCGCAGCGCGAGGGCGGCCTCCGGGGTGGGCCTGCCGGCCTCGACGACGACCCAGAGCACGGGCGGGCGGACGAGGCGCAGCGTCTGGCCCATCCGGCTGAGGTAGTAGGCCTGCGACGCCCGCGCGCGCGTGGGCGTGATGATGATGAGCAGCTTGTCGCTGGCGTCCCCCTCCTCGCCGCCGCCGGCAGCGGTGG